GCACAATAAAATGATATTATCCCATAGACCTGTGCACGGAGCTGGAGAGAGGGGAATGCAGAAGTCACAGTGGATTACCTAGATGACATCCCTCAGACTGACAGATGTCTGTGTTGATGCTAAAGTACTGACACTATAAAAGCTGTTTTGTCTTCACTCATGACAGATACATTATAGAAAATAAACATATTTCTGCTGAGAAAATAAGTCAGACAAATGAGCCCCCAACCCTAAGAGAAACATTTCATAGGTCTACACAGTTACACTTAAATGATAGCAGCCTGCTCCACTAAATAACAGTTTATCCAGATTATAGATTCCTCTGTGCTAATGCTTCAAACTGAACACAGCTTTTAGCAGCTGAATATAAGCAGATAACATTAAGGTGCTCAATGCCTGTTCAATCCCATGGTCAAATGTAATAATTATAACAGGAATACTGGGCGATGATTCATAGCCATGCAGAATCTGCTCTTTGTGAGTCTTATATCACCATGTAGCTCAAGTCACTCCCAAAATGCACAGTTTCTGTTCTACTTTTTAGATGATGTCAATTATGACATCCTGGGAAGTATGCACAGATGTAAATATTAGTGATAGATTTGTGATTCCATTATTGGGCAGTGTTACAATTCTGAACTGGGCAGCCATATGGCTCTCGCTGGAAACCACACAGCAATGGGCATTAGCAGACTGACTCTCATAGTCTCCTCTATTCATATTCTGCAAATGTAATCCTATACATTTAATTTCACGGGTATATAGTGTATTGTTGTGTGTGTGTGTATATATACACACAATATGTATATGACATATAGACAAATAGAATCACTTTAAAATACCATTGCATCAATGTGCCATTTATTAAGGTATGCATCATTACAGCACAGGTTTGCTGACAATCAATGTGAGTTAGCACATACCATCTTAAATGCAGGTAAACTATAAAATTAAACCCCCTTAAAGTTATGGCCCCCTAACCCCAAATTTACTATAACCCCAAATGTTCCTAATAGACCCCAACGCTCAAGATCCATTACCCTAATGTCTCCTCTAAATTAACCTAATCTTACGTTAAACCATGCTTTTGTTAATAACAATGGAATATCGCTGTTCTTATAAACGCAGGAACTTTTTAGCATTTCTATTGCAGTATTTGCATATAAAACCTCATGTTTAAGCGGAAACATTTTAAAGATATTCATTCATTCTCCCATACTTCCTCGCTTTATTAATGTTTGCATCTATACCATACATATTATCATGGTGACATATGTTCTGTGCTGATATTTCTTAAGCAATTTGTCCAAAATCATTTGCGATCTTTGTCAAGTTCTATACAAGCATCAGTGTTACATATTAACTTGTATGAAACGACTGTTTAAAAGACACCTTAAATCACTGTTAATATTGAACAATTCTCAGCTGAACTTATAAATAGATAGGTCTAAATATACATAATGCACATCCTCATATTGGAGTTTAATGACAGAATTGCTTGATTTTTGTAAGCTGATGAACATTGCCACCAACTTGTGTCACAGGGTCAAGGCTCCATAGTCTCATTAATGACACACAGTAAAGCAAGCCCCCGCTTGTCCAGCTGACACCACAGTGTGGTTATGGTAAATAGGCATGTAAACTTCTCCCCTGTCAACTCAAGGAAGCTAGGTCCACCTTAATTGAAAATTACTGCCATAGGCCAGCCCTCAGACTACTTTTATGAGGCTGAATGCTGATGCAAGTGACAGCCCAACATCATTACCATGCAGACAATGATGAAGGTGGAAGCGGGATCACTGCTTATGACAAGTAGGTCGTGGTCTGCACTTTCAACTACAGCATCTCCGACAACAACAACCATCAACACACAACCATCAATAAGGAAACAAGCAAAAAGTGTAACAATAACACCGTGTATGTATATACCGATCCCAAATCTGCTGCATTTCCTCTGACACCTCCAGCTACAGAGTCACTGAACACAGACCCTACAGATCACTTCACATCAGACACATTATGGCAATGACAGCAGGGATCCATGCACACATTTATCTGTATATCCTCCGTATCTTACAAAAACAGCAAAATTAAACAATTCATAGACATCGATAAAGCTGCCTTTTCACGTTTTATAACATACACAATTCATCATTGGCGATTATACAGATACACACACACAGATGTATGTACACAGTTAATGATGGGATTATATATAGGGATATTCTGCAGATGACACACAATAACAAAACAGCTATGAGACTGTCCAGGGTAACAAACCCCATGTCACAAGGAATAGAACGTTTGCAGAAGAAATGGAATATTCACAGACCTGTATAGAAGCTGCAGAGCAGTGGAGGAAAGGGTTCGTTTGCCTTATAGAGAATCCCCTGTCTGTGCCGTTCTCACACACACATACAGAGAGTCCCTCAGTTGCTCAATGCAGTTCTCAGGAAATGAATGGGGGCATACAGAGAACTGTTGTACTTGCAAATGACTTACCGGGATCACATGATCTGCTAAATCTAGGGTGGGCCAGTGGGTGGAGGCTTTCATAAACAAGAGAGGACAATATACTGGGAGCCTTTCCAGCATGCATCGAGTTACACAGGGACCCCCAGCAAGGAGACTTGGGACACCTCCTATATTAGACTTTATAATGCAAACTACTAGTGCTGCTGCAAAATGTGTGGGAAAAAAATACATAATGACATCATTGATCAGCATGTAAAACAGCAAGCGTGTTCATATCACTAAACAGCTGAGTGCTGAATAGAATAGTCACGGGAAAAAAGATTTGCAGCTGCTGTTAGAAACCCCCTTTCCTACAACTGAAACCCTCCCTGCTCCCACCCTGAGGAGTAGGAGGAAACTCCCACAGTTAGCCCATGTATTTGCCATAGATGTCAAGGCTGATCTCCACTGTTAGAATCATGTTCTTTTCTTCTAAGGTAGTTATGGTGTTTTTTTTTTTTTATTCTATTATGTTTTAGAATAAGAGAAAACTAATGGTATATTATGAAACTGCTACAAAATAACTGCAAATGATTCTTGCTTTCAATCTAGCAAGTGGCCATGACATAATTGTAGCTTGATCGTTTGAGAATTTATTATATGAACAATATATCACCAACTAGTGTAACTTAGGTAAGTATGAAATAGAAATGCATTCTAACCAAAATTATTTACTGGACTGCATAGCTAGATGCATGTATTTGCAATCCACCTAAGATCTATTTTATGATCTACAGTTCATAATTAATTTATAGCTTTGTTTAATTTAGAAAAGTTCGATTTTATGATACATTAAATAGTTATTAGTTGTAAGAATATTTATATTCTTCTTTCATTATGGCTAATTGTGTAGCTTGTGCTTATTGTTTATATGTGGTCCCTCCTGCATTTTGTATAACAGTAAGGTATTTGCCATTTATTTATTTATAAAATATTTTACCAGGAAGGATACATTGAGATTTCTCTCGTTTTTCAGGTATGTACTGGATCCACAAAACATTGCATTGTTACATTAGGGTACAATAAAATACAAAAACAATATTAATACACAATATATATACAATTTTACATAGAACAGGTAGGACATATATAATCAACCATGACAGGTGCATTCTGTTTTGAGTTATGTAGAGAGGAATCTCTTAAAAAAAGACCTTTCGTTAATTCATTTCCAGAAATAAACCAGCTTTAAAATTACAGATGATGTTTCCTTATATTATGGATAGTATATAAAATGGGATCCCACTAAGCTTGAAGCATCAGTAAGCACAACTGGAATTTCATGTTTAACACCAAAACAACTTTGCTTCACACTATTAAAATGAATTTGGTGCAAAGATCTAATCCCTGTAGCCTTTCTGTGGAATTCACTGCTGTTTCTGAGAAAATATGTATTTTTTAAATTTTTGCCTTTGCCACACCCTCACACCTGTCAATCATTCAGTTGCATTAAATACTTCCTGAAAATGTTTAGCAATTTTGTCCATACTGCTTCTCCCCTGTAAAAACGTAATATATCCCCTGATCAGAGCTTTATATTTGCGCTCATAAAAATGTTGAATGCCTGCTAATACTGACAAAAGTGATCAGTTTGAACTCAATCTGAAAACTTAAGGGCTTGTTGTAAGTCTCTGAAGCAGGTGAGTAAATACTGTGTAGTGTAAAGGTTTTTTTTTTTTATGTTAATATTGCATTTGTAGGAGTGTCTTGTGTTTTCCAAGAGTTAAAAACTGTGTGGTGTTCATTACAGTACTGTGGAGTATATCTGGTGCACTTTTGCATTGTGTTATTATTTAATGTTTTTGATATTTGTGTGTTTTAATGATAGCAGCAGATATCATTTAGAATTCTAAAGTAATGTAGAAAATTGAACTATATAAGATACCTGTGTCTGAGAAATGTGGTTGCTAATATAATTTTTTGCCATTAAAATCATTGGATTGGATAAACATACTCAATCGTGCCACTTTCCATCTGTGAATTGTTCTGCCTTAATGGATCTTTATGAGAAGCATTAGATGAGACATTTTTGCTGAGTGCTGTGCATGCGCAGTTTTTCAATATTTCTCTGTGAGAATCATTGGATTGAATGATCCAGCACTAACTAGGAATTTTGCAATGGGCAAAAAAGCAGGTTATCATTAGATTACAAAAGCCAATTAATGACAGTTAGAGTTTTATGGAATATAACTAGATTTTTTTTTTAAATAGTAAATGTAAATTTTTTGTTAATGCCTTAACCATGTGGGTTTTAAAACTATACATTTCGTAACACAGAATTTCTCTTTAACTACGTTATTGATCTGAAGTCCACATATTTGCACTTTGGCCAGCATACCAGGATCTATTTCCTGACAGTCTTTTGGGGCTACAAACATTACTATTCACTCATGGGTGTCCCAAATGAGGAGCCTGCACATGTCAGACCCAGTTGGGGCCCTGACATTCCTAATTCAACTTTGGCTTGCAGCCCAGAACTACCAAGAAAACTGGGCAGGCCAGAATGATTTCAAAGCTCCACGTCTCGTTTACAAGCAGTCAAGAGAAGTGAGTATAGACAGACCCCCTGTATCGTGAGCTGGCGGTCTTCATGCATTTACAGACTGTTGTCCCAACCTATACAAAACGGATGTTCTCTTGAATTTGAGTAAATGCTGCCGCTGCTAATAAACCAAATGTTTTCAAGCATATTTTTTTCTTTTACTACCTTTACGGCTGTAATGAATACATTTTACGCCTAAATAACTGAAATGAAAACAATCACAAACTTGGCTATTCTTTTTTGCATCAGCTATTTAGGTCTAACATTTGTTCAATGCAATCGTTAAATATACACAGGTTCCAAACAGCGCTTTGAATGTAGCCAACATCTCCAACTAAATGAAATAGCAAAAAATAAATATTTTCAACACAGCACAAAGGACCAACATTTCCAGATGTAGGCTAATAAATCTGCAGACATTATGTAACAATAATTGTATTGGGTTTTCTGTAGATTTTTCAACAGAGTAATATATCGCCCCATATTTCACATCCTCAATAACTGATCTCCTAAATCTTTAACGCTTTACGCGTAAGAAAAACACTATATTTTTAACACAGTAATAATGTGAACCGTCTATTAAATTCCAAAATTTGAAGACAATACTATACAGCTTTCCCTGGAGGCAGTTTCCATTCCAGAGAAGACTAATGGCTGCTTCAAGAGAGACCTATGCTGTGTTAAGAACTAAAACCTCAGTGTGCTTCAGATCTGCAGCTGCAGAGGACTCTGTCAGAAAGACTGTGGTTGCTATGGGAGCTCAGGATGCTAGGAAGTGAATAACACACCCAGACGGTCCACCCAACCCTGCAGTTATTTAACTCTACATGGTTCAAATACCCACTGATGGCTAGAATAGACCCAGCTGATATTTAATCTGAGTATCACGGCAAATGTTCACAAACATCTGGGGTGCCAAAGCAAGCCTTTTGTTGTGTAAAGAGTTAATGGCTAACTCTTTATTCAGATCAGTGTGTTCCAGATTCCATTCAGAAAACGAGGAATGGCCTATCTGTGCATCAGATGCCTAAACTGTGCGAAAAAAAAATCTTTGTCAAGTTTCTAGTATTTTGTGAGTGATATAAATTGAATAAATACATTTGATATCCAGCAGTGTTTGCATTACTATTTGTTTTATGTAGCTAGTATACCTATCATTAATCATATTTCCTCTATATATTCTTGTTATCCATCATTATTCTTAGGAGGAGCATCTCTCATAAACTTTGAAGAAAACCACGAACCAGGTTAAATGAATTAGATTAACCAATATGAATCTAGAAGTAAATGAATCCATATTAACCTGGAGAAGTATTGCACAAAGCTATCAAATCCCAGTGTAGCAAAAAAAAAAAAAAAATTGCAAACAAAGAAATACTTAAATAAAACAAGACCATACATTCTAGTCTAGTAAACATGACAATTCAGTTTATTTTTTGGTCCCAAGTAAATGATTATCATTGGAGGATATCAATCTAAAATCCAACCATTTAAAAAAAAAAAAAAATAATAATAAATACTTAAATGATACAAAAGCATACATGAGTAATTCTTACACTTCAAGGATTACACATACTTGGTTTGTACATATGTATTGTCAATTGATTGACATCTAGCCTTAAAATAACACTATAGGGTCAGAAACACAAACATGTATTCCTGACCCTATAGTGTTAAAACCATTATTTAGGTGGCATGCCCACCTTAGCCCCCTTAAAAAGTAAGGAAACTTACCTTATTACCAGCGCTGTGTGAGTCTACCGGCGCTGGCTCCGCCCTTGATCCACCTCCTTGCTGACATAGTCAGGATTTGTGATTTCACCCAATTCAATGCTTTCCTTTAGGGAAAGCATTTAATTGGCTAAAATCAGCAAACTGTTGGGGTGGGGGAGGGGCCAAACACCAGATCAATGAATCTCTATGAGAAAAATTCATGGAGATGTTGAACGGCACCACTGCTCCAGGAAACACCTCCAGTGGTCATCTGAGAAGTGGTCACTTGAGGTTTCCCTAGGGGGCAATGTCAACAATGCCTTTTCTCTGAAAAGGCAGTGTTTACATGAAAATGCCTGCAGGGAATGATTATACTCACCAGAAATACTACATTAAGGTATAGTCTAGTGACTATAGTGTCCCTTAAAAGGAACACTATAGGGTCAGGAACACAAACATGTATTCCTGACCCTATAGTGTTTAACCCACCATTTAGGTGGCTTGCCCCCCCCCCCTAAAAGTTAGTAAAACTCACCTTAATTCCAGCGCCGTGCATATCCGCCGGCACTAGTTCTGCCCCCTTGGTGACATCATCAGAATTGTAGATTTTTAGCCAATCCAATATAAACACTGCCTTTTATCTGAAAATGCAGTGTTTGCATGAAAATGCCTGAAGGCAATGGTTATACTCACCAGAACAACTATTTAAGCTGTAGTTGTTCTGGTGACTATAGTGTCCCTTTAATAGTACAGGCACAATTGGCAAGTGAACTGAGCCAAACATGGGTGCCCATCAGGTCAGTGCTTAAAGGGTAGAAACAGAATATAATGGGTCGCTCGGATTCATAATATGTTTTTTACTGGTCCCATCAGTATCAAAAGATTTAACTCCTTAAGGACCAAACTTCTGAAATAAAAGGGAATCATGACATGTCACACGTCATGTGTCCTTAAGGGGTTAATCACATATTCTTAAATACTATTATTGTGGAGGCAAGCAACTAATAAATATGGATTTTACTAATATCTTCTTGCACCTTAACCAGCTTGAGTTCCAGGTAGGTGAGCAATGTGCTGTGCTCTCATAGAGTTAATAAAATGTCACCCAATTAATCCGTTTCTTTTAAATGACACTAGTAATGCAAAAACTGTGAAAAATATAGGCATTATCCTGGCTTATGGTTTTACAAGTTCTTTAGACACTTTACATTCCATTTAATGACAGACAAATATGTGTTACGATTTTTTAACTAACAAATTTCTAAAATATAATTTGGAAGCAAGGGTTCACTTTCATGTATTGCTGCCTTGACATTTAAAAAACAAAGTTGCAGCAGGTAGCCTGTGTAAAGAAGAAAAGAAACTAGCTATTAGAATACTATTATATAATTATTAACATATGTCAAACACCCATATAAAATAATTTTCCTAGTGTCACACAGGTTTTACAGACGTAAAAGCTTTCATATCCATTGTGATCTGTTGGTTGCAAAAACAAAATATATTGCACAGAAAGTCTCTTTACATGTGACAAAAGGATAATAATATACATATATACTATAATTCAATGCATTAAGATAATAATACATTGAATTAATTAATAAAGGCATAATTATATAGCCCCTGTTTTAATGATCATAATATAATCAAATTAGAACCATAGAATCTCTGGGTGGCTTCCTATTTTTTATTTATGTTTTAATGCCATGAATATTGAAAATAAAAGAAAGGAAAACAAACATAATGCAACATTTATTGGTAAATAGCACACACATTTAATCATATAAAGATACATATCTGTCTGTCTGTTTATCTCTCTCTCTCTCTATCTATCTCTCTCTCTATCTCTCTCTATCTCTCTCTCTCTATCTATTTATCTATCTATCTATCTCGCTCTATCTATCTCTCTCTCTATCTCTCTATCTATCTCTCTCTTTCTCTCTTTCTCTATCTATCATGATGGTGTATCTTTTAAGGTCTTACTTTACAATTTTAGCTCAATCTGGCTTTGGAGGTCTTTTTTGTTTCTTTGTTTACTTGTAAATCTGGTCTTTTTAAATTTTTTGTATTTTGTCAGGATGTGATCGATGGTTACGATTGAGCTTCTCTTGAACCTTGAAGGGGACACCTATTTTTATAGTGTTATGATATAATTGTTTCAGGATATGTAAACATGTCTTTGAAATATGCTTTTGACATTTGTAGCCAACTAATGCAATTAAGTGCATAGTCAGCATTAATTACGTACACTTGCTCATTGAGGAAATTAACCACACCAAATTTTCAAAACCAGGCAATGAGGGCTCTTGGATGGTGTAAAGAGAGGGAAAAAAGGATAAGAGGAAGATGTGTGTAATAGGAGGCAGTAGCTGATGAGGGTGTTGTGGGTCCTAGAATTGATATTATTATTATTATTATTGCCATTTATATAGCGCCAACAGATTCCGTAGCGCTTTAAAATATTATAAGAGGGGGGATTTAACTATAAATAGGACAATTACAAGGACATGACAATGTCCAACACTTGGTAGAGAGATAGATCACTCAGAGAGCTCAAGTGATCCAGCGCATATCAAGGCATGAATTTTATTGCAAATAAATTATCTTCTATAGAGTTGTGACATCTACCCCGATTCTTTATTGGATCTAGATTCAGTTCCAGGCTGCCTAGAAATATTCAGAATTATTCACTAAAGTTAGAATTCAAAGTGAATTCAGAGGGAATTTCAAATCGAAGGCCTTAGTAGCTGAACTGGAAGCACAGAAAACTTAGAATGTTTCCATTTGGCTATATTGGCTTTCAATTTGAAATTCACTTTGAAATCCTTTTATTCTAATCATGGATAGCACATGCTCGTATCTCTCTACATAACATGTTGTGAAGCTGCTAACATAGTATCTGAAGCTTTAATTTCTTCCACCTGTGCCAGCCGCATTTGATTGTGGTCTTCCAGTGTAGTGGAATTAGACATTCATAGCACTTACACTGCGGCTGGTAACTTCAAAAAAGGCCGCAGTAAAATTAAAGAAACAGCTCCTGCTGGCGGTATCGGACCTAACGTCTACATGTTTCATCCCGTAGAGGGACTTTATCAAGACATAGGTCCATCCATAACAGAGCCCATATATACACATCTCACTATAATGCAAAGTGGGTACAAACTCCGGAATGGACTCTTTGTGGTATAAGGTAGTGTGTATTTTCACAACAAATAAATAAATTAGTTAAACATAAACTTTATTTCCAAATAATAAAATCTACATATGGGGCTAGTAACCCCATAAGTATGGATAGATAATGATATCATATACCATATAATCTATCTAGAGATGTATACATGAATCAGTAAAACATGACTATAACCACATTATGAAAAATAAAAAATGTATCAAACATAAAAATAAAACAACCAAACAGGATGGTCTATACAAGATAAAGGGCTAACCTCAGTGCTCTAGATGGAACATTCAAGGGGAAGCACCAGAGTAGGAATTTTTTGTTTATTATTAATAAAGGATCGAGGAACCTGATCCAACTCCTCATTCAGACTATACCTGCTTGGAGTGTTGAGGTTAAAGATCCATTTAGTTTCAGCTAATTTCCTTTTTGCCAGCTCACCCCTATTATGTATTAGTTATATCCCAATTGCTGTTGTGTATGAGAGATCATTATTATGGGTTGTATGAAAATGACATGCCACCAGGGTCTTTCTATTATTGGAGGATCAAT